TACTGAAAAGATTATCAAAATCATACATACAAACTACCTACTAAGGCAGAAGTTGGAGACAGCACAGGCTGCCTCGCTATGCTCATCGATGTATGCAATTTACAGCCACAATAAATGATATCTAGAAACTTCCAACTTTCACTAAACTAACACATGACCCAAGACTTTACGCTGTTAGTGACTCTCCCGAAGCAACCTCCTTTCTGATTAGCTTATCTAACCAAATTTTCAATTTTGCGTTTTACAGGCTAGGACTGGCGGTAGCTAAGGGCGATGACCATCGATGGCGTCCAAAAACCCGTAACTACGATTTTGGCCATGTTCAACCGAGCTGGATGAGTGATAAACGTTGGATTGTCCATCCATACTGGTTTGTTAAAGTGATACACACAGTAGCTCATAAGCAAATAAATTTATGTAAGGAGATACTGTCTCTTGAACGATACTGACACCAACATCACAAAAGAAGAAGCATTCTTCATCTATGCTAATCAAATGCGACATAGCGGTGGGTTTTCGCCCTCTTCTTCTTTCCTTTTTGAGCATATAGTGTTGCACTTTCAGGAAAACTACCGGCTCTTTGTCGTCCTCGTGAGCACCTGGTGAGGAAACTCCTCATAGATTTGGAAGCTACAAGCGCTCTTCAAGACAGCTGGGATCTTCAATGGCAATTTCTTAAGGAGTACGTGGTGGCTGCTGAGAATCTACATTTGAATAAAAGATGATTTTGCAGTAACCTTATTCATCTCGTCTTCTTCACTGCTCCATCGGGCTTGATACGATACTACAATCAAACGTTGGAAGACTATGATTATGAGGATCCTAACTGGAGCATTTTCGATCATATAGGTGCTATGATGAGTATAGACCACGTGCAAGAGTGAGTTGATTTCCTTTTACTATTGGGGAAGTGCTTTTGGCATGTTTCGACAAACTTCCGATGTAGCATGTTACACCGATAACTGGTAGAAAAATAGGTAGGCCACAAACAAGATTTCTACCACACGAATCATTCTTGCTTTCGTAAGTATACTTCTGAAGGTAAGGTGTTTCACCCTTCTTTTCAGTAGAAAAAGCTATATCGTGATATGAACTT